CTGGGGATCACAGGCTGCGCCACTGCCCATGAGGCCACCTGCCTTCGTGCGGGTCCGGGAGGGATGGGACCGCTCCGTGGAGTCTCCATCAAAGGCAAAGCTCTTCCCATCGAGTTGGAAAGTCGGGAAGCCCCCTAGAGGCAGGACAGTGGGGTTCATGAGGAGACTGTTATTTTAAAGAAGTCCAAGGCAGCGCTGGTGCTGGTGTGAGGAGCTGTAGAGATGCGACAGGAAGGCTCCAGGTCCAAACCAGCCTGTCCCAGCCCATCAGGGTGGTGGTTGGCTAGCGAGCACCGGGGGCACTGGCCATTGCGGGCATGGTCGGAAGTGCGCCCGGGGGTGACGCTCAGCCCAACCACAGCACCCGGCTTCACACCCCTGCCGCCCCCCGAGGGCTGAGGAAGCAGGGATGGTGAGGATGCTTCCACACAGGTCAATCCGGGGGGCTCAGGAATGCTGTGGAGCTGCCCCCTGGCTTTGCTGGGCGTCCTCATCTGCATGGCGGGGGGGAATCCAGTGGCGGGGGAGTTGGTTTCTCATGGGCTTTGGGGGGCCGCTCAGGGGCTGGGACTGGCAGTCTCTTGCAAGGGCGACCTGCGGGAAGCACCCCTGGTGACAGCCCCAGCCTGGCTCCAAGGAGCGTGGGGCCGGATCCGTGCTCCCAGTGTACATGGGATCTCTATGGGACACGCGGGTCCCTGCTTCCCATCACCTCTGACTGACAAATCTGTTCCTGCTGCTCCAGCCGGGCAGGAGCTGTAATTAATGTCACTTGCTCGGGGACAGTCTGTGTGCGCAGTAGCAGCGGAGCCACTCCAGCACTTGCAGGATCAGCCCGTTCGCTCTGCAATAACCAGGAGCAATTTCTCATTCTGCCGCCAGCAGCCCTGCGAGGCTTTTCAGAACAGATCCAATACGAGGTCAAGTTCCCACTAAAATCAAGTGGCTGGGAAGGAAAACTTCGTTACTCGCAGCAGCAACAGCGCTGCTGTTTATTAGTCAGCGATGAACCAGCAGAAGGTTTTATTCTGCTGGTTTCACTGTGGGCGTTGGGCTGTGGTTCCCCCACCCAGCTCGCTCTGTCAAGGCGGCACGTTTCACCCTCCTGCCCCTTCTCCGGGGGTGAGCTGTGGTTGTGGGGTGCCCTGGCAGTCCCCGGGAGCCACCTCGTGCTCCTGCCCCGCAGCATCCCATCTTGGTGTCCCTGCAGCATCCCACTTTGGGATGTTGGTGGCAGCACCCCCGCACCCCTCGCCTGCAGCCCTGTTACCCCCAGCCCGAGACAGTCCCTGGGTGCAAAGCGGGGGAATGGGGTATTTCAGATCACAGCCCCCTCGCACAGCTCTGAGCTGCCAGAAATGTCACTGCTGGGGGGGTGTCACCCGGACAAAGCTGACCTGGGCACATGCAGTGCTGGGCACGGGTCCTTCCCAGGGCTGGAAAGCCGGGCTTTCCGTATTTTCAACATGAAACCGGCACAGGGACTCCTGCTGATGACTCCCGTGGGTGTACGGCTGGGAACAGGTACACCCCCTGCGCTCCCCCCGCCATCACTCCAGGCGTTGGTGGCACGGGTGGGAGCAGGGCGAAGCCGGCTGCCAGCAGGTCTGGGTCTGGCCTTGGGGTGAGTGCTGGGGGCTTCAAACGGCAGCGCCCAAAAAAACCGTGATGGGCCAGGGTCCCAATGCATCCCCCTCCCCACCGCCTCCCTGCTTTCCACACAAATAACTCCTTCACCGCCCACCGAATGCGAAATACCCGAAGCCCCACTGACGCATCGCTGCAGCGGCGGCACCGAAGCCTCATCCCAACACGGGGCTCCGGCTGCACCAGGCACGGGCCGCACCATCCGATATTTCGCTGGAGCG